AATTTTATGTTTATATATTAAATATATTTATATATAATATAAAATATAAGAATATACATATATACATGTATATACATGTAAATATTTTCAAAATATCTACTGTATGTGTGTGTATATACATAATAAATATACACAGTACACACACATATATATTATGTGAACAAAAACTTTTCTTTTGGATTCGATTAATCTGGATTAATCGTTTGACAGCACTAATATATATTATATACATGCATACATATATACAGTTGTGCTCATAAGTTTATATACCCCTTGCAGAATATGCAAATATGTTAAAATTTTAACAAAAATAAGAGAGCTCATGAAAATTGCATGTTATTTTTTATTTAGTACTGTCCTGAATAAGCTATTTCACATAACCGATGTTCATATATACCCCGTATATATTTATATATATATATATATATAGGTATATGTATTTATATATAATGGTAATAAATGGTAATAATAAATCTTAATACTTTGTTTCATTTCCCAGATGATCCATAACTGTTTTTCTGTTTAGTGATAGTTGTTCATGAGTCCTGCGTTGGTCCTGAGCAGTTCAACTGCCTGCTGTTCTTCAGAAAAATCCCCCAGATTCTTTGGTTTTCCAGCATCTTCTGCATATTTGAACCTTTTCCAAAAGTGACTGTATGATTTTGAGATCCATCTTTTCACACTGAGGACAACTGAGGGACTCATATGCAACTATTACAGAAGGTTCAATCGCTTACTGATGCTCCAGAAGGAAAAACCATGCATTAAGAAAACTTAAATTTAACTTATTTTGTCTTCTGAGAAACATGTAACTATCTTCTGTAGCCTCTGAAGGGCAGTACTAAATGAAAAAAAATATTATATTTAGTAGGGCTGCCACTAACGACTATTTTTATTTCGATTAATCTATTTACTAATTTATCGATTAATCTAAACGATTAATTTCCCATTAAAATCAACAATTTTATTTAGATTTTATTAAACCAAATGAAATCCAAATTTCTATGAAATCCTTTTTTAAAGCAAAAGTAAAGTGCAACAGAGAGTGCAAGAAGCAAGTTTCCATCTCATAGTCCAAATCACTGAAATCAAAGTTCAGTATTATAGTGTAAGAATGACAACATATCCACATGTTCTAGTCTACTAATAATAAAATTATAATAAAAAAACACTTTTTAACGGCGTATTTACCAGAAATGTTATTTACCAGAATTTATTTAGGAGAAAAATGTAAATGTGCAGTATTTCTGAAAAAAAAAAAGTTTTATTTTTTTATTTAAATAAAATCAATTAATGGGAAATGCTTTTGATTATTAAAATTTAATGGAACCATTAAAAATGGAATCCAGAAAATAAAATAATGGAAAACAGAATTTGGTAAAGATAAAACTGTAAAACTCAATTAATTAGACAGGTTTTTTGATTAATAAAATTCAATTTAACCATTCAAACAGAGTATAGAAAAATGAAAATGGAAAAAAACTGGAATTTGGAAATAAAACGGATTTCATAGGGCCCTATAATTATAAT